TTTATCATTATTGGAAACAACACAACAATGAAAAGGTCATCTGAAATATATTCGGCGTTGTAAGTAAAATAATACCATCAGCTAAACAGACGTTTGCAACAATTCATCGAAGAGAGAAATAAATTAAGATAAGGTGATTAATAATAATGTATAGCAAAATAACATATTGTTGTTGGCACAAGGACGATGAAATCACAGTCAAGAGGTAATAGCAGTCAAGAGGTTACATTACCTGTCCTTCCACGTGGTTTTCTTCAATTTTTGAATATTGTTAGCAGAATTAACACGTATATTATTAGGCAGTTAACATCATGGCCTCTTACTTTATACAAAAGGTCAACATCTTTTATGAAAACTGATTAATTACGTACGTAGTACTCAAGACAAAGTTTGTTCTGTTTTGCAGGGTTTGCGTCTAGAGCAACGTGCTATTATTTTGTAAATACCGCGCATTAATAAAAATATGTTGATGAGTTGATGAGAAACATACAACTTTTGATATTATTACGGTATCGTCTTATGAAATAGCATGCGGATTGATGAATGCAGCAATCCGATTGGTAAGTTTATGAGTTGCTTCTTTTGCAATCAAATTATTATTTGATTCAACTGGAGTAAAGTAGAAATGTTTTACAAAGTTTAAAGAACTTATTTGGACATAGCACATTTCTGGCTGTAGCTTTCATTGCGGTATTTCTTCAGAGTTTGGACATTTTTAACCAGTGGAGTGTGTTGCATTTTCTGTGTTTGGAGCTCTACTAAATATATCGACTTCGCACACGCGCGTGTGTGTGTGTGTGTGTGTGTGTGTGTGTGTCAGGCGCGGCAGAAGACAATAATTGTTTGAAAAAGTAGTTCATAGCGCGTGGACAGCACTTAACAGCAACTGAAACACTTCATAATTTCAAAGGCATATATCATTAGCTTGTTTGCTGCTCTCCCGAAATACTTCATTTATTATTATTATTATTATTATTATTATTATTATTATTATTATTATTATTATTATTATTATTATTATTATTGATGTTATTGTTGTTGCTGCTATTGTTATTATTATTGCAAGAGGCAGGAGATGGCTCAATATATATTTTAAAGTAGGTTATTAATTTCTGCTCGTTGCCATAGTCGTATTTAATGGTTTCGTTGCCAAATATAACCCTTTGTTACAATTGTAAACTACACGCTTGTTAACGCTGAAATAAGCTATGCAAAATACACTGCCAGTGAGACAAAGTAATGGTGCTTTTCCCTTTCAGTTAGCTTAAATAAATAGAAGGCAAGATCTTTCAATCTTTTCTTTTCTTTAATAGTGTCAGTAAGTGAAAAAGTGCTACCGTTCTTTGCGGCATCTGTTTCATTTTGCTAGTATTTTTCGTTATGCGTTCTTTATCATTTTATATACTTCATCTTCTAATTTCATCTGTGTAAATTTCAGCTACTTCCATAACCACTTAATGAATGCATTTTTTATGATTCTTGTTAAGATATGCAGACAGACGTTTAATATTACCAATATTTCCAGTGCAAACATCATGTATTCAAATTTCTTCATATTTTACTTGACCATGAAGCGGTTCAGTTCATTTGTGTTGATTGTGTTTCTGTTTCATTAGAGATCATTACTATGTGCCTTTATTGTACAGTGGGGTATGTTACTCTTGTACAGTTACGTATATTTTCTCCTTTTGCCTACCAAAAAGATTTGAGAAAGTGAAATCCACCTGAATGCGTAGGAATATAAATATGTGCTAATATACGAGGAATGTGTATTCTTTATGTTGCATACAGATGGTTAAAAACAAAATTATATTCCATCAATTTTTTTCATGCGAATTACATAACTTATACTTATGTTTATACTTATATCATCTGTTTGATGATCTACTTGGGTCCATTCACTAAAGTCGTACATATCAGATGAGCTTCAAATCCGTCATTCCGCAAATCGTGATAGGATCTAAATTATTGCAACGGTAATTTGTCTCAGCCAAGTCTGATAAAGATCTATATCGCCACATTCTGCCAGTTTTACTCTTTTCAGATCTATCAAAAAGAACTTGAAACGGTTTGGATTTCATAAACGATAACCGCGAGCGACAAGATAGTTGCATTTAAAAATGATACAAACAAGAATTCAAAATTAGTAAAGAAAAAGGAAATAGGTTTGCTGACTTTAACTGAGATGCAATCAAGAGACTGGACTGCAGATATTTCATCCAAATGATGGAATATAAAATAGACTAATACTAGTAATACAAATTCTCATCAACCTTATCAAGGGAAACGTTAGCAAACTTCTCTAATGTTTTATATTGTTAATTTTGCTTTATTTGTATGGAATTTAATAATTTTAAATGTGTTATGAATAGCTTTCCTATTGATTATGAACATTCATTTTCAACAGATTCTTCGTAAATCAAGTATGACATTTGTTGAGATCGTATTAGCAGTCACTCCATTCTCTTTTCGTGATGTATGAATAAAAGAAAGCAATTGAATTCTGACTTTATGGTTATGCGAATAATACATTCTATTAGAAACAGTTGCAATGTTCTGTAGAGCATATTTTCTAGTTCATAATCCAGGCTTGGCCTCTTCTACCACTGCAGATTCTCTCTCCAGTGCAGATGCAAATCTAAACTATTGAGGATGAAAATCGTTGGATGTAGTGAGATCAATTAGCTTAAAAATATCGTCACTGAGTAAAGGAACAATTGTTTTGTGTTTCATAAGCATTCCTCTCAAGATGGTAACATCGGAATTATTGGTATCTGTTGTAAGTTTATATCGAATGAAATTCCTTCTCACCCTATCCCCCTCCTAAAACAGAAACCCCAGAAGAAAATCAAACTGGCAACTAAAATTAATTCAGTTTGACTGGTAACCTAGATATTGTCAACAGAAGCATTGGTTCAGGTTTTATAATTGTTGTCTGTGTAAACCATGAATTTTTGAGATTATAGGTAGGTTTTAACAAACTAATGTTTTTAATTCATGTTTTTGAGCAGCTTTATGTAGTCTATATGTTGCCAATGCTATGCATTTATTTAGCAACATTTTCCCAGTAGCACATATATTCTTACATCCCGTGAAATGTTAGCACCGATAACAACAGCAGAAACATTCATAAGTTTTCTGTTTATCAAAAGACTAATAAAAGACGTGAAAATTACGTTATTTTGATTTCTGTAAAATGCATCAGAGCTATAAGACGAAAGAAGACAAGAAAATTCGTTTGGTCTGTATAGATTGTATTATTAAATCATAGTAATATAGAGTTGCTGCTGGTTATTTTGCACATTGTAAATATGGACAGGAGTCTTTTGAACTGTGTTCCCATTGTCGATATTAACAGCCGCTCCCATTCTAAAATTGTTCCTGTACCTAACAATGTTATACAATGAATATGGAAGCAAAACAGTTTTTGTTACATCCCTATGTTTCCTGTAATATAATATATCGGTTTTCAAATCATTTGAAATATATTATCCGTTATGAAATGGTAAAATCATCATCTGTGTCACCAACTGTATTTTTAAAATCGTTTTTTTTTTTTTTCAGGTGACCATTCTATTGTGACAAAATATACAATTTATTATAATAAGTAGCGGAATATACAACAGGCAATGTTTAGATAACCAATAGATACATGTTTCCATTTACTTTCTTACTTCATTTAGTAAAACATGTTACTTCTCTTGGAAGGGTCTCCAAAAATCTCCTTTTATTCACCATTATTCCTTATGTTTAAATGTTTCTTTTAGCTCCTGTATAATTTGGGTTGAGGTATTACTAGGATTTCCTGATTCCTTATATCAGCTTGTATCTATCTATATAGAAGATTTAAAAAGCATGATTTTTACTGCAAAATTACTAGGTATCGAGATAGCCATGATTAACCCAGTTAGTGGTTCTGGACCTTTTTATACCCCCAAACTGTTGACAGTGTTTTAGATTTTTTTATTAAAAACTCCGAACGACCGGTCTGACCACAAGTACACGAGGTACACTTAACAACGCATTGGCACATACATCCGTTGTCTTTAATACTTCATGAAGAAGCAATTCATCCCAATTTTGTCATATCATCCACACAGCCCTAGTTTGCTGCAAGTGACTTATGGTTGAATCTTGTTATTTAGAAGCTGCTGAAGGGAAGCTGATTTAAGAGCAATCGTGAGGTTGGAAGTGAAGTTTCTCAATGTATATGAACAATATACCAAACATATAAATACAAATCTAACGATTGAAATGAGGCTGAGAAACTTTGCAGAGATAGATGTTAAGTACAGTGAGGGGATCAACTAATGTACTGTTCACTGATATAAGAAAACTCTTACAAAGCAAATATAAGGCTTTTATTGGCTAAACAAGAATAAACCATGTCAATATTACTGTTGCATTAAATTAGTTCTTTAAAATTGTTTTAGATCAAATAGATGCATTAGTGAAATGTTAGTCATGGAAAAATTCCCATCAGTCACAAAACGTTAATATTCCATGACCAGCTAGGATATTCCTCGGCAAAATGGGAGAGTTATTCTCATATCAAAGTAAATATTAGCGTATGAAAATGTATTGTTCTACACAATATAAATATATTCAGAAAATCACAAACGATAAGAAAAACAACCTACACAATGAACGTAGAAATTATGATTCAAAGCAACGAATTAGTAAAGGAGTACTACCTTGAGAGATGTTTTTTTTTCTAAACGGCCTAGGAAAAGTAAAATGAAGAATAAGCAAATGTGTGTGTAAGTATGTGTTTTAGATTTTTAACGTAGTTTTAACAATCTTTCAGTCATATCGCTACGATATCAGCAGTGTGACAGTTTCTAGTGATTAGCACTGGTGCATCATGCCGCAGAAATATTGCATGATGTCCCACCCAATCACATTATCCTGACACCAGGCCAACCAGTCCTAACACTAACCTATTAATGCAGAGCACCAAGAGAGGCAGCTGTTAGTACCCTTTTTAAAAGTTTTTGGTATGACTGTCGGGTTCGAACCCACGACCTACCGCATCCGAGGCGGACGCTCCAACCACTAGACCACCGGAGCGGTTGAAAAAGCAAATTGTACTATAATTTATTCAACCAGACAAATAATAGAATCAAATGAAGACAAAAGCAAAAGGGAAAATATACGTAACATCTTGGAATATTGGGCAGTCTCTGTTAATACATATTATGCATATGTTTAAGTCTGTGTTTTATGTATCTATCTGCCAGCCTGACTTTGTATATGTCGTCTCTTAATGTGATGTAAAACATCCTGATTGTACTATGATTAAAGCCAGGATGAATTGAACATAATAAACACAATTAAGTAAATGATATATTTATTAATAACTTATGTGAAAACTAAATTGAATCTGACACCATACCCATGAGCTAAGTTCAACAATAAATGTAGCAAAATAATCTCGTTCCTAAAATGGAACCAATCAAAAAATGGAATTGCAACAAATACAAAATGCTTATGATTATTAACATATATGAACAACGTATGGAACTGTCACCATATAGGATTTAACTTGTAACATCTTAAACAAGTATGGTTGACATGTAGATCTGTCAATATAATATGATCAATGTATGAAATTTATAAACATTGTGAACGATATATAGTTCATTAACAATCACTTCGCACAAATAGTGACGTTGAAAGAGATTCGATTCCAAAGTGAACGTATTATGTTATTTATCTCGTGGCGTCCATTCGATGCCCAAGATAGATTTCTTATTTCATAGGTCCCATTACATCTGTCTGTCTGTCTGTCTGACTCACAGACAAACACAAACACACACACAGACATGTGCATAATCTGTTCGGCATATTTCAAAACTATTTACCATTTGGTTTGGTTTATATTTTGCTTTTAACGCTTTATTTTGTTTAGTTTGCAGTTTTATTTCTCAGTGGAATCGGTATTCCTCGATTATGTTGATTTTCTGCTTCGTCTTCTTGTTTTGGGTTTAACGCTACATCTCAAAGTATGATAGGTCTATCAATGGTGTAATCAATCACAAGTAATTTCATTAGTCATGTCATGATTACGTTTAATTAGTTACGATATCCATCTGGATTCTTTATTTCACTTTTGTGAATAGTTTTTCAGATGTGAACAATAAACATGGATTTAGTGACATTATGACGGCCTTGACATTTAGATTCATAATATCTGCTACCATAATTTCACTAATGACATTTATCAGGTTTCCTTACAAAATTTTGTGGGTTATTTTTTATCATACAAAATTTTGTTCGTATATACAAATAAATTTAACCAGTTACGGTTCAAATATATAATATAAAATGTTCTTTAGATGTACTATAAAACAATGTGGTATTGAAGCCTAAACTTAAGATATAACTTTGTGAGAAAATATTGATTTTCATGTTATTTTATAAACTGATTCATTAGAAATATGGTCTTTGATGTGACGCGTATTTAAATTCAAATGAGTCAGTAGTTTCAACGATAGGACGTCGAAAACATTGATCTAGCGATAATTACTTGATTTTTCATGACGTCCACATCAACATGATCGCGATTGGAAGTTATATTGTGATCCAGTATGTGGAAGTCATGTTGAGGGCAGAGGTTGTATGATTGAACACGGAATTGTTTAATTTGCTTTCGTGCAAAACAAATTTTTTTATAAAGTTTACTTTTTGCACGTCCAAAAAAAAGCCTTAGATTGTTTTATCTTAATCGGTGTCATCGAAAGTGTTTATTCGATTGACCCACCGTTACAGTTTAAAGCTCTTTGCTGGTGAGTTGGAGGATGACGTGTTATGCATGGCTTGGTACATGGAATCACGACTAATGCAGACATTATTGCTAAGATGCGTGCCTATGTTGTAAATATTTCTTAAATGTTTCCTCATAAACAAACTTAAACGATCCAGCACTCTTTACGAGTCCACACTTTAAAATTGTGATATATGTTAAGAGAATTGTAATGAACGATAAATTAATTTTAATATAACATATTATTAATTAAATCCAGTTTTATTACAAGTAATGTTTTATAGCAAAGATATTTTTAACAAAATCATATTGTATAACGTAGGGTTTGTTTTCCAAATGTGTTTCTGTTTTAATGTTTCCATGTGTACTTTATATGTAATTCAAACAATGTTTCACTAATTCAATACGATTGCCTAATGTCACAGTAATATTATAACATAGTCAGCATTTTAGCGTCAGACTGTAACTCTAATATCAAGACGATGAATCATCAATTGAAAACAACAATTGACACATGAATCATATTTGCCATATTTGGGCAATTCATAGTCACCATACGATATATTATTTATAGATTACTGCATGTGTACGGGGAAATATGTAGGAACGTTTCTAAACAACAATGCAAAACCTCGAGAGTGTGATATTAGTGCATTAAGAAACCCCACGAGTTTATAATTTCACATAAAAATAAAGTAAACTTCATATTATTTACTCATTTTGTTCTTCTATCTAAAAGTTAATAACAAAAATATACTATATGAAACAAAGTAATGGAATTTATGCTGTATTCCAAAACAAATAAACAACCAAAGATTCACAAATACATAGCAACAACATTATTGCGCACACAGCACCACACAGCGACCTCATAACTTCTTGAGCGATTGACATTAGTTCTATGAATTGTTTTAGTTTACAAAAGATTTAATAAAGAGTTCTGTCGTGAATGAATGCGCAATAAAACAACTTTCCCTTCTGGTCTGTACTGGGTGGACTATGTTTTTCTCTTGATCCACCTCAATTTTGCCTACCTGCTTAATAATTAATGAAATGTTTTTATAGCTGAATCAGTTCCGTACGATGTACATTTGATGTGAGCAGTGGAATCAACCGTACCTTTGTTTCTGTTCTATCGTTGATTGTTTGGAATGATAATATGTGAAACATACTAATTCTTCTAATTTAAATTATCAAATAGACGCTATGGTATATCACATTAATTCGTTTTGAATGCAGCAAGGAGAACATGATTTATGTTGCAACTGTAGTCGAAGTTACATTACAATTTTTCGGAGTTTATCAAGGTTTGGAACAAATAACATGAACCATGTAACTCCGATTTGAAGAACTAACTAAGAAAGTACATTGTTTGGAAATTGAAGATGCAAAATTGTAAGTATATTTATTGAAATTCTTATTTACAACTAAAGAAGACAATTTGTTATGCCCTGTCATTTTCATACTCTCGATTGAAGGGACTTTAGCTAAGTACATGACCTGTATGGGTTCCATCGCTAGCCTACATCCAAAACATTATATAGAAACCTTAGACCGTGAAATTTGCAAAGCACCTACTGTGCGACAGCTAACAGAAAAAAGACTTCTTCGTTGTCTTGGGATTTGGGCTGAAAAGCTCTTAGTTTTCTACCAATACCTACAGTTCCATTTTTTTTCCCTCAAATTTAGCATTATGGCTGACTTGTAAAATGGTATCTATCTTATGGATATAAGATATCCCTCGGTCCAAACTTGCTTTTATATGCTTTTGTTATAGACTTTAGAAAACACTAGTCATAGTCAAAACCATCATAATTTTGAAAAGTTGCCAAAATTTCTCATGAATGACTGTTTAATGATCAGTAAAACATTTTTGATATTGAGTCTCTCACATTTGTGGTAGACATTATGAATATCATGTTCATTCATTTGCTTGTTTTAAATTTTCAGTTGTGACTCGGTAAATTCGTCCACATCATTAACTTTATTCATATCCATTTTTAAGGGGACGAAGCAGCTTGTTTAATATATCCACAAACAAATCTAATAAACTAAAAAATAGCATGTCTTCTGCGTGAGCGTACATTGGTTGTGTACAATCAAATTAGTTCATAATGCACGAAACTTTTTTGGACAAACATGTCGTGAAATATGAAGCCTTGGATTATGGAAAAATGATGCACGTTTCTGACAACGTAAAGATAAGGGAGATAAAAATGAGAGGCAAATAGTGTGTAATACAATAATAAATTGGTTTTCCGGTTTCTCTCAGGACTTTGATACTATAGATCATACATATTATGCGTCTTATATGAGTCGATACAATTGTCAGATACGAAGTGGAATTTTCCTATATGACACTTCTATTGAGATCAAATAATTGATAAAACTTTGGGCGTCCATTGAGGTGATTAAGGGCCAAAGTAAACCTCAAACGATTTTCTAAATCTGATATTGTCGTTTTCCTTTACAGACACGATATCGCTTTAATTTATATCCTTTTCGACATTTTACGTTTTCAAATTAAAAAAGCTCCGTTTTTATCTATGTAAGTTTACACTAACCTTAAGAGTGGTAAGCGTCATTGCTGTGGTGAGGTGAAGAAGATATTGCTAAATTTAAAATGCAATTGCATCTTATGTCTTTATTCATCTTTACAATATATTATTTTGTAATTTAGAACATGGGCCAAAATACAAGTAAATACAATGTCGGCCATGATGTACAGAAATTAAATATGGTGTTCACTATGCGTATACATACAAGACTTCCTATAAATAATCAATGTGTGATATTCTATAGGTATTACTATCACCGAGTGTATCATTCGCAATCGTATGATTTATCAAATATTGTTTCAAACGAAAAGCCAAATTTATATAGTAAAAAAAATTGTTTCTATTAAATAATACTAAATACATTTAACTATTTCTTTCTTAGCTGGTCGAAAGTTTAACACAACTTCATCTTCTAACAAGTGTATATTGTTATGACTCTAGTTCTTAAAATATGTAACGAAAGAAGTAAACTCAACAATTTAAGTAAAATCAAGAAGGTATTTATTTGTCTTAAATACAAAGAATACATTCACGGGACACCTAAAGTTTTGTATGGCATAGCTTACCAATGATACTGAAAGTTCTTTAACAAATTCAAAACCAAAGAATGTCCCGAATGAATTATAATAGTCTTGAGTGTCCTTATACATCACAATGATGCAATTTAGAATATCTTTGAATGGCCACAAAAATTAACATTACTAACCATCAATGAGCATTTTAGTAATTCTAGTGAATAT